TTCGCTTCACGTCATTCCCTTCCTCTTCTGCCTCCTCCTCCCCTCCTTCTCCACTCTTCACCCTCTCCTACCATCCTCCTTCTCCTCCTCCTCTTCCTCTTCTTTTTCCTCTTCCTCTTCCTCCTCGTCGTCCTTCTCCTCCTCAACTCCCTCTTTCTCCCCTCATCTCCTCTCACTCCCCTGCCTCCACCACCTCCTCCTCCTCTTCCTCCTCCACCTCCGCCCTTCCGCCTCCTCCCCCATCTCTTATCTCCCCCCCTCCCCCCGTCCCCCCCACTCCATCCGAACCATATGATTTAGCAGATTACCCTTCGACCCCGCTATAAGGACCTCACAGGTGTTCGAGCATCCTCTTACTATGGGGCTTTTGTCTTCTTTTGTCTCTGGCTAGAATAAGGAGCTGCACCCGGAGCTCTCAATGTCCTTTCCTCGGCCCGGTGGAAAAGGATCTCCCGAGGTGGGCGTTGGGATCGGGAGGATATGCGATGGGCGTCTCAAGGAGCTCGGAGATGGTGGGAATTGGTGTTTCGCTTGTTTGTTTATGTTTGGGGATTCGGTGATTGATTTGGTTGATTGGCTGTTTGTATATTTATTCGTGTATTGATTTATTTGCTTGTTTTTTGTTTGTTGATTCAATGATTGACTTGGTTGATTATTTGTTTGTTTATTTATTTGTGTATTATTTATTTTTTGTTTGTTAATTCAGTGATTTATTTGGTTGATTAGCTGTTTGTTTATTTATTCGTATATTTATTTATTTATGTATTTGTTTGTATTGAAAGGAAGAGGAAAATTCAAGAATTAGCCTTTTTCTCAATGGAAGAAAGGAAGAAGGGAAGAAATGAAGAAGAAGAGGGGATAGAATTAAAAGATGGTGACTCTATTTTTCTCTTTTAAGGGGAAAAGGGGGGAGGGGGAGGGGGGATAGTCAAGTTTACACCCGAACGGATCGTGGGCGGGACCGCGGATGGCCCTGAGGTGAAGGTACACCCGCGAGGACATCGTTGGGGGCGTTTTCGAGAGCGGGTGGGCTCACCTTTAGCTTAATGTAATCCATTCCTTTTTGGCGTCTTGTCTCTTTTTTTTCTTCTTTTGTTTCTGTTTTTCTTCTTTTTCTTATTTTCATATTTCTTCCTCTTTTCCTTGATCATCGTTCCTGTTGGTGTTTTTATGTTCGCCCTTACGTGATTTTCCCCCATTTTCTTATCAATTTCGCTTCAGCCTCGTGTAATCCATTTTCTTTCCGTTTTATGTTTCTTTCACAATACTTGGTTCTTCATTGTTCGTTTCTTTTCGTTTTTAGTGTAATCTCTCCAGTTTTCCCTTTTTTTCTTTTTCTTTCGTTTCGACTAGACTCCATATTTCTCCATCTCCTTTATCACATATGCTTGATATCACACGATTACACAAACCGATACAGTAATCAACGCCAATGAACGTGATATCATCATATATAAGAATATTTTCGGGACAGGAAGTCTTCATAAGGTTCTTACGGCGCCCAATCACGCCTTCCACGATATATTTCACGCTCAGGATAATTACCCAAGTCGTGATTCTTGCAAGTGACGCAATTACCCCAACAAATTGCACACGAGACTCGGCCAGCGTGCGAACCTTACGTTATGGGGCGGCGGGTGGGGAGGGGGTGGGGGGTGGGAGGGGAGGGTAAGGGGTACTGGAGGAGATGCTTGGAAATGTTTAATTTTTTGAGGATTATTTTTCATCTTGTGCGTACTGGAGAAAGATTCCTTTAGATAAATCTTTCGGCTGAAGAAGAATACGCGAATAAAGGGTACAGAATGTGTATTTTAAAAAAAAATGTCACTGAAATCATTTGAACATTTAAAACAGGATATCTCAATGTTTAAAACAACAAAGAAAATAGCAGTGGCCATTATCCGCCCGAATGTTATAAGATAGGGTTTTACGAGGACCAACAAAAGGCTTTTCACAACGCCATTTTAAACTCACAAACAAAAACACGTCGACGCATATGTCATATTT